TTTTTTTTTCAACAATTATTTATTTATTTTTGAGACAAAGTCACACTCTGTCACCCAGGCTGGAATGCAGTGACACTCAACTGCAGCCTTGAACTCCTGGCTTCAAATGATCCTTTTGCCTCAGCCTCCTCAGTAGCTAGGACTATAGGCACCACCACACCCTGCTAATTTTTAAATATTTTTGTAGAGACGGGGTTTCGCTGTGTTGCCCAGGCTTGTCTCAAACTTCTGGCCTCAGGCAATACTCTAGCATCAGCCTCCTAAGGTACTGGGATTATAGAAGTGAGCCACTGCACCTGGCCAACAGTTATATTCTCATTGTAAATAAATAAATTGGCAAGTTGCTTTGTTTCCTTTGAGTTTTATTAGTGTGAGTCTCTGCAGCAATGTAATATCTTGAAATAAACAATAATAAATGAAAAAAAGTTTAAAAGACAAAACAAATTTTAAAAAATGACAAATAACAAAAAAGAAATAAAAAGTAAAAAATAGTATGAGTCTCTGTACTCCTGAATCTGCTTACATCTGGGAACACTTGAAAAGTCAGTTCTAGACCAATGTGCTGCCGTGGAGATTATAACTCTGTAAAAACCCTGTCTGATGGCCAGCTGGCATGTATCATTGCCACCTCCAGACCATCTTCCTCTCTACAATGGACAAGACTATTTATTCTTTAGCAACTTGTGCTCTAACGTTAAAAACAATGCATCCAAAAATTTTAAGCCTGGGGGTGAGTGGTTTTACAAGATTTCCTTCAGTTTTCTTTGTTTTGTTTTTTGGTATAGTGTGGATATATTAGGTGTACATTTCCTGCCTCCCATCAGTTTGTAGACTAAGAAAAAATAAAGTTGAATGAGGCTAACATTAGTGTGTTAGTTTTATGGACATTTTCATTTTCATTTTTTTTTTTTAAGGCCCCATCCCTCCACATCCTGGGCATACATGGGGAAAGGGCCCCTTTAATTTTTTTTCCTTTTAATTTCATGTGGTAAAGCCCTCAGGGGTGAGGTCTGATGCTGTTCAATTAGCTTTAGTGAACACACAGAACATACGATGTCCAAAAACATTTAATGAATCCTGTTTTTACTCATTCAATCTGTGCCTAAGTGCTCTTATTCCCTTGAACCATTAGGCTTTCTTTCCCCCCTTTTCCTGTCAAACCTGTTAAAGGCCACCATCCTAATTCAAACCTCTATCCTATTATACCTTAACTAATCCCATATGTTTTTTTCTTATTTACCCCACTCTCCATCTATTTTATGTATATTCAGTTTACTGAACAAATATTTATTGAGAATTTACTGTCACCAAGCCACACTTTATCTTAAGACAGACCCCAAGTCCCACGTAACATTTATCTTCCTAAAACATTGTTTCCTAAAACATTGTTTTGCAAATGACACTGCACATGCAAAAGCCTTTAATGTATACTCATTAAAGTCAAAATTTCTTTTTTTTTTTTTTGAGACAGAGTCTCACTCTTTTTGCCCGGGCTAGAGTGAGTGCCGTGGCATCAGCCTAGCTCACAGCAACCTCACACTCCTGGGCTCAAGCGATCCTACTGCCTCAGCCTCCCAAGTAGCTGGGACTACAGGCATGTGCCACCATGCCCGGCTAATTTTTTGTATATATTTTTAGTTGGCCGATTAATTTCTTTCTAATTTTAGTAGAGGCGGGGTCTCGCTCTTGCTCAGGCTGGTTTTGAACTCCTGAGCTCAAACAATCCGCCCGCCTCGGCCTCCCAGAGAGCTAGGATTACAGGCGTGAGCCACCGCGCCCGGCCTAAGTCAAAACTTCTTAACCTGAATTCCATGGCTCCTACCTTTCTTTCAACTTCATCTCCTAATATATTAATAGTAGTCAGTCCTACCTTTCCGGTCAAATTGGTCTACCCCTTTTTTTTATCAAAATTAAACTATTATTAATGAGTTACTAATACTTTCAATGCTTTGTGTAGAAACTTAAACATTTTAAAAAAAACCTGTATTAATTCAACAGATACTTATTGAGTATAGTATCTAGGCTTCAGGATAAAGCTAATTTCCCATTTTCTCTCCAGAGTGGTTTCCCTTTTCTAATTTTCTCCAGTTCCAAGTGTCATTTTCTTAGCACAAAAAAATGTGGTAGAAAGAGACTTAGTCTGGCCCGGGAAAACTGGGATCTAGCCTCTAGTATGGATTCACTGTGTAACCCAGAGCAAATTGCATTCAGTTATCTATCTGACATCCTATCTGACCCACAACCTGGTTTTGTAGGGTTTGTCAACAAATCATTTTTACCTTTTTAAATGGTTGGGGGGAAAATGCAATGACTATTTTGTGACATATGAAAATCAAATATCAATGTCCATAAGATTTTATTGCACACGGTCACACCCACTTACTCACTAGGTTGCAACAGAGACCTATGGCCTGCCAAGCCCAAAATTATTTCCTACCTGGTCCTTACAGAAAAAATTTGCCAACACCCGTCTCGGACTTCTGCCAGGATTGCTGTTGCACTGGTCATCACTTAGGCCTCTTTTGGCCCCCTCACTAGACTATGAGCTTCTGGGTGGTGGCACTTGGGTCTTCGGAGCCTCCCAAAAGGCCTGCTTCTGCTGGGAGGCTCATTTATGAGGGAGGTAACACAACGACGATTTAAGGGCCAGAGTTCTGGCGTCAGATCTGGGTTCAAATCCTGCGGCTTGAACAGTTGATTTCCTCACTCTGTCCTGCTGTTACCTCCTCTGAGCAATGGAGATACAAATAGGGCTGAAAGCGAGGCAAGAATGAGATAAAATATGCGAAGCGCTTAGCGATTTATTAATCCCGCCAAGCCTTCGCGCGTTTCCTGGGGAACTGCCCAGGGCGGAGCTCTTAGTCAGCAGGCACGGGTAAGGTGAGTGGCTGGAAGGGCGGCGCTAGGACCCGGACGCCACGCACGGGGCGCTGCCCACGCTGCCGTCAATCAAGGTCGCCGCGGGGCTGGGCGTAGCGGAGCGGGGCGGTGCTTCCGCCTGCGCGAGGCCGCACTGGGCCGCTCGGCGGCGCCGGGCATAGTTGGGAACCCGTGCCCGCTGCCGCCGGCCGCGCGGCCGGATGAAGGGGGCGATGGAACTGGAGCCCGAGCTGCTGCTGCAGGAGGCCCGCGAGAACGTGGAGGCGGCGCAGAGCTACCGGCGGGAGCTGGGCCATCGGCTACAAGGGTTGCAGGAGGCGCGGAGGCAGGTCGGAGGGCCGCGCCCGGAGGGGTGCTGTGGGCCGGGAGAAGGGCGCGGGGTGCCGGGCGGTGGGCGAGGGCAGTGAGGGCTCCGAGGTTGTGGGAGTGCATGAAAACTCTGAAGGAAGAAGGGAAGAGGCTCTGCAGGGGAAAGGAGACCTAGTAAGGTCTGGGAATGGGGGACGTGGGAGCTGGGGAGATCAACGGGAAGACAAGTTTGACGGAGAGAGGGAGAGTGTGAGGAGCGTTCCCTCAACTTTGTGGGGCAGTGATGGGAATGGGGTGGTGTCCGAAGTTGGGGAGAATGAAGGACCAGAGCAAAATCCGCGGGGATCACAGAGGGTAGTGATGAGTTAGGGAAAGTGGAGATTATTTGGGAAAATCTGCGGTAGATAGAGATTGATTTTAGAGAGCCCGAGGAAAAGGTGGGGGCAGTGACCTGGGGAGAGCAAAAGGTGGAGACAAAAAGGACATTGGAAGGGGAGGACTAAGGAGAGAGAAGTGCAGAGATAGGGATTGAGAAGCATTAGGGTTAACACTAAATGAATGGGATTTAGGCCCGAATAATATCTCATGTGATCTTGAATGCATTTTAAAAAATCATTTAGAGTAAGCCTGTTCTGGATGGTTCAGATTAGAATTTAAGGTGAAGGTGAAGCTATGTTGGAAGGCAGAAGAAGGAAAATGAAATGCTTGAGAGGGACTACAAAGGCGTCGGGAAAGGGAAAGACATTTAAAGAGAGGAGAACTGAAAGGAGAAGCTAAATAAACTTTCAAGTGGTGCAGTTATCTGTTCCATGGGGAGGGAGTTATCAAAGATATGGGAATGCCACATGGTTTCTCTACACCCTCAAACATATACAGAAAAAGATATAACCCACTGCCAATGTGTGATAGGACAGATAATCTTCAGGCTATTAACATAAGTGCTTAATAAATGCTTTCTGAGTGGGTAGGATTCCATCTGAATTTCTCTAGATCACACTAGATATTAATCTATATCGTCATCCTAGGAACTCCCATGCTGCATGGAATCTGAAAATGGTAGAATAGCGCTGTGATAACAGTGTCTTTGGATATTCTCATCATTAAGGGTACTCAACATGCTTTGGGTTTTATATATTTTAAAATCCTTGTAGAGCTGGTGTAAGGCAGGCATCATTTGTATTTTCGTACTAAAACCGGGAGCAGAATCTAGATATGACTGTCTTGGTTTGGTGGCCTTTCAAGGCCTTTCAATGCACTCATCTCAATTTCCCTTTGAAAACGTCTGCATTATTCCTTCTCTTTTGAAATAGAGGTTGTAAATCTAGAACATTGTTTAAAAAGAAAGAGATTAAAATACCTCTTATTATATCACTAATGTTTCAGCTAGTTAAGATACATTATGTATGAGCATGACTGTTGTTAACTCTGCATCAGCAGTTAAGCAGTAGAGTTGACACGAAATGAATGAGGTTAGTACCTGGGAGTAGTTACTAATTTCTCATGTAATATTGGATAAATTAAAAAGAATTTAGTTTGATCCCATCCTAGATGATTTAGTGTTCAATTTCCAAGTCTATGTTCTTTTAAATTTTATATCCGATAATTTAAATACTGCACATACTTTCCTATAACTTAGTGTAGTTTAGTATGGGCTTTTGTTTTGTTTTTGAGGCCCATTGTCTCAGGCTTGAGACAGAAAACACCAAAAGAACATCCATCACAATTAGGTTCCTGGTGACACTGCCTTCTAACTAGACTGAGTAATAGTGTAGTTCTCTTTTGTGAACCAGAATGTGTTTTGTGCCAATGCCAGTGACAACAATGTCTCTCCTCAAAGCTAATTCTAGTGCATTGTGTGTGTTTGGGTTTGTGGAATAAGTCCTCTGTCAACTTGCATTTTAAGGAAGGTGTGTGTTACAAAAATATTATCAAAATAAGCAGCTGCTTTTGTTTGGTGGTTATGGTTCCAGTCATTTTCAGAATAACTACATAAAATGTATGACCTTTTAGTCAAAGATTTTGCATGGGGGAAGGATGGGAAGAGCAGAGAGGAAGGGATGCTACCTTTTGTCTGTATTTTTTACTTGCTGATTTTATTTCCTTTTGGCATATGCTTTTTTATTGAGATATAATTCACATACCATAAAATTTATGCCTTAAAGTTTACAATTCAGCGGTTTTTAGTATATTCACAGAGTTGTTCAGCCATCATCGCTGTCTAATTCAAGAACATTCTCATCACCCTAAAAAGAAATCTGAGGCCTTTTTGTTATGACAAGAGGCCCATTCGCCACTCTGTGGTGACTCTGTGGTGAACGTAAATTGCTCTTGCTCTGTAAACGTGTATCTCGCTCTTGCTCTGTAAACCTATCTTGTCCTTCATCAATAAACTTCGTTTCAAGCTTGCAAAAAAGAAAGAAATCCCATACTCCATAGCTGTCACTCCCCTAACCCCTGGCAGCCACTAAACGATTAATACTTTCTGTCTATGGATTTGCTTATTCTGGACATTTCATATAAATTGACCCATATGACATGTAGCGCCTATGACTGACTTCTTTGACTCAGCATAATGTTTTCAGGGTTCATCCATTTAATAGCATGTATCAGTACTTCAATCCTTTTTATGGGTGAATTATAATTGTTGTATGGATATACCACACTTTATCCATTCATCAATTACTGGACATTGGTTTATTTCAACTTTTTGACTATTATGAGTAATGCTGCTATATAGCTTTTTGTGTGGATGTTTTCTATTCTTTTGGAATATACCTAGGAGTTGCTGGATCACATGGCAACTTTTTTTTTTTTTTTTTTTTTTTTTGAGACAGAGTCTCACTCTGTTGCCCGGGCAAGAGTGCTGTGGCATCAGCCTAGCTCACAGCAACCTCAAACTCCTGGGCTCAAGTGATCCTCCTGCCTCAGTCTCCCAAGTAGCTGGGAGTACAGGCATGCGCCACCATGCCCGGCTAATTTTTTCTATATATTTTTAGTTGTCCGATTAATTTCTTTCTGTGTTTAGTAGAGACGGGGTCTCGCTCTTGCTCAGACTGGTCTTGAACTCCTGAGCTCAAATGATCCACCCGCCTCGGCCTCCCAGAGTGCTAGGATTACAGGCGTGAGCCACCGCGCCCGGCCCATGGCAACTTTTTGTCTGACCTTTTGGGGAATTCTTGGCATACTTTTTTATCTTTGCTTTTGTTTCTTTCCCTTTAAAATCTTGCATGAAATTTGCCTCATGTTAAGAAATCATGTGTATGAAAGTCTAGAAGAAAGAAGAATAAAAATCTCTTTAAGTTATTCTGTCAAAAACAACTGCCAACATGTAGCAGTTTCTCCTCTTGTGGTTAAGTTTGGGCCCTGCCCTCTGTTTTCAGAGAAAAGGAAGTTCTATGTAGGAATGCAAGGGTTGTCTGTAACTCTTACTGTTTGACTAAGTTAAAAGCTAAAGAGCTATTTGTTGTCTTCAGGAAATCAGATAATGTTTACAGCCAACCTGGCCTAGCTGATGTTGAAATCATTAAGAACAGTTCTCTTATAGCTCTCTGGAATCCTAGGTACTAAGATGTAAATACCAAAGAAATTAACTCCCACTCTCCTTAAATATTTATTTGTTCATTCACTTAATAAATATTTATTGAGTGCCTGTTGTAGGTCTGAGGTACTCCTAGGCCTAGATACTGTGGTCAGGGAGATAGACCGCTGCCCTCATGAATTTATTCCTTTCTTTTTCTTCTTGTGTGAGTTTTAGCATATTGTGTTTTTTAAGGAATTTAGTGGCTGATTATTAGATTAGTACCCCCAAAACAAAACAAGTAAGAAAAACCTAAGTTCTTGTATATTTATTTTTAGATTTTGCTTCTGTTGTGTTTTTCATCATTGTCTTTTTTGCTTGTTGTAAGTACAGATAACTGATAACAGATAACTGATCAAGGTGTAGTGACGTCTGCTGGCTATTCAGGCATCACAGGGTGGCACTACCTTGATGACATTGCCACAGTCCAGGACCTGGTGCTTAAGCTTTGTTGGTCCAGAAACTCCATCTTTGTGTGTTATCAAAAGGGGATTAGCTTGAGGTATTGGAGGGCCAATGGTGGGAAATGCCAGTATTTTCGTTTGTGTGCAGTTATAGTTCACTCTATAAAATGAATATGTGGGCTATCATATGCCTTTTAGTTGGGTGATTCAGTGTCTCTCAGAGCATTGACAAAAGCAAGTCTCTGAGGATGGACATATTTGAAACTCGGACTTAGCAGGGGAAGCGGGGGGCAAGGGCAACATATGTAACCTAAACATCTGTACCCCCATAATATGCTGAAATAAAAAAAAAAAAAAAAAAAGCAAGTCTCTGCTCCTTCAGAGTAAATGGTCTGATCCTGGTACCTCATTAAGATACTATTTAGTAAGGGCCCTGCCCAACTCTGGCCAGTGATGTCCCTTAGATGCTTGTTACTATGAATGTGGTTTGTGACCTGCAGGATTGGCATCACCTGGGAGCTTGTGAAGAATGTGGAATCTCAGTCCCTACCTCAGACCTACTGAACCGGAGTCTGTGCTTTAGCAAGATCACCAGGTGTGACGTGTATGCACATTAAAAATTGAGGCATACTGCCTTAGAGTACACCATGACCACTTCATCATCTCTTTACCGATTTCTATAGTTTAATCTAAAGGTATATCTTCATAAATTGCCATGGCTTATTCTCAAGATTAAAACATTGTTTGAAATATTAGACATTTGTTTGTTAGATAATTATAAAAAGATACACAAGTGAGTGATTGACCATCTCAAGCCAGTGCTTGTCCTAGCATGTCTTAATATCTGTACTGTGACCATTTGATGAATGTCTTCCATAGTATTTTGTTTTCATTTTTCATTTTTTCATTTTTTTTTTGAGACAAAGTCTTACTCTGTCACCCAGGCTAGAGTGTAGTGGTGTGATCTTAGCTCACTGCAACCCCAAACCAGTGGGCTCAAGCTGGGACTATAGGCATGTGCCACCACACCTGGCTCATA